CTTGTTGTTGGTGGTGACCAGCACAAGTTAGCTGCCAAAGATGTAGTTGTTCCTGGGAAGTGGATCCATCTCTGCGGGTCCTGGAGCTCGGAGAACGGATCCGCATCCCTGTGGGTGAAGGGAGAGCTCGTAGCTACCGCCTCAGACATCGCCGACGCTCACACCATTCCGGACGGAGGGATTTTGCAGATTGGTCAAGAAAAGAACGGCTGCTGCATTGGAGGTGGATTTGATGAAGCTTTAGCCTTCTCTGGAAAATTAACTGGCTTTAACATGTGGGACAGAGTGCTCAGCGCCAAAGAGATAGCAGCGCAGAGCGGAGAAGACGCGTGTAGCACCAGGGGCAACGTCGTCGGGTGGGGAGTCACAGAAGTTTTGCCGTACGGAGGAGCACAGTATGTTTCTTAAATTCTGGCAAGGCAGCTTCTGAAGCAGAGAACATATTTCCTGAAGAGCTGAGTGCCAATACATACAAGTAAACAGAGCCGTAGGAGCCTGTGTCTCTCGAATTCCCAAGGAAAATCAGCGTTACAGGTTTACAAGATGAGGTACTGTGGAGATGGGATTTGATCCCTGCCTGCTGTTTCAGCAAAACACTGAAGAAAAAAAAAAAAACAAACCACCCCACGTTGAGGCATGATATTGGAAAAGCTATTCCTGAGGTCAGGCGACTGCTGTCTCTCTAGCATAGTGTTTTCCGACGTGTAAGAGCGCCACCGTGGACGTGTCGGAGCTGAACGGTGCTCCGGGCATCCCTGCTGATGGAAACACATCGGGTATCCGGGCTGACTGGTCTCTGCAGAACAGACACAAGGCTGTGCATCTTCCAGGCTCCTCCAGCCACTGGTTTTTATAGGCTAATGTGAGTTGTACAGAGGAACCCCACACACCAAGGAACACATTGTTTATTAATCGTTGTTAGTGATTTGTAGGCTGTAACAAAATTAGCTCCTTGTTTAAAGCATTATTTATGCCACGGATTGACCTAACGTATGCAAGTAACATTCCCCACCATAGTCTGATGTTACATTTGGAGAAAATGCAGCTGTATTATATTGTAAATTGACTTTGTAATAACTTTATTGAAATTATTTTTGTAAAGTTGTTCTGTAAATAAAGATACTTTACTAAACTAGAACTTTCCCTGTTTCTCGTGAACTGAAACTCTGAACGTAAGCACCAATTTGGGATTTTTTTTTATGCTTTGAACCACGTAATTTTAGGTGTTTATAGAAAAACAACATAAATATCAACTTCTCATACAGAGACCCTCAGAGGACTGAAATCTGAGCATTAGCCAGAGATGTCTTGAAAGGCCCATCATGATAACAAATCCCTCTCGTGAACACTGCCACATGCAAGGGGATCTGCCACTCTAGGAGCTCTCCCACGTGGACATGGTCCCTTGTGCAGAAGAGATGCTTTGACAGACTGACACACATGCATTGACCTGAGGCTGTGCTAGCGCAGCGCGTGGAGGCTGAAGGAAGGATTGCTTTTGAGATATCCTCAAAAAAAAAAAATTCAGTACCCCATACATAACACTGGCCATCTGAGAAGGACATATCCAGTTTTAAGATACATTTAGATATCCCAAGCAACCAACTGGTTTGATGCTAACAGGAGGTTCATACAAGGCAGAATTGATGGCAGTGGCTTTCTTCTCTCGTGTTTGCAAACTTATCCAAAATCCACTAAAAACACAGAAGCAGACGCAGAGAGCCAAGACACTGGTGGTGATCTGTGTGTAGGAAAACAAGCTGAAGTAGACAATGATGAATTGTTACTCACTGGATATGTAACCATTTATGACAAGAGCGATTCTTCACTACCTGTTGAATCCTCTGAACAAGTTATCGTTGCAAATGACTTACTCAAAGCAATTCTTGTTCCCACTGAAAGCAGCACACCCTTCAGCTCTGTTCACATGTTCGTTGGCTTTCTCATTCTCGACAGATGTTCTAAGACTGCACTTTGAAAAGTTTATAAGTTATATGATCTGCTCCAAAGTTTTGGCAGCATTGTTTATTTAAGGTAAAAATAACAGCCCCGATTGCTGGAATTTCTCCTATTTTCCTGCAACAATAATGCATCTAAATTATAAATACTTACTACTGAGTATGATGAAAATCCCCTACTAAATAATATCTGCAAACAACCTGAACTACAGAACCATGAAAGATTACCTCTGTTCATCTGCTGTTAGCCAGAGAACAGATCTTCAGCGTTAAGAAAAACACTCCAGGTCCCAGCATCGCACAAGGGCAAAACCACTCTCAAACCCTCTTTCCATAAAATACTCTCCATTAAAGGAGGAAAAAAGAAAAGTTTGTGAAACATAGAATCATAGAATGGTTAGGGTTGGAAGGGACCTTAAAGATCATCTCGTTCCAACCCCCCTGCCATGGGCAGGGAAACCCTCCACTACACCAGGCAGAAAAAGAAAAATTCTCAGAAAGAAAACCAAAAGTCCTTCCTGACTGCTTTTATTACTGTACCTCATACCTGAAATGCTGTCTTGGAAGCAGCCTTTTCCTATCTCTGCTCTAGTTTGGCAGATGACCAAATGCAAAGCCAGTCCTTTCTTTCTCACTTACTCAGCTGGACAACTCTCCTCTTTCCAACTGCTTTGCTCTTCCTTGATCACCTTCATGGACTAGCAAAGCTTTCCCACAGCCTAGTCCCCTCCTGCCCAGCACCACAAGTCACCTCCACCAGCACACTTCTCTCTCTCCTTCCTAGCTTAACTATATTTTGCTTTGTCAACAGTTACTTTACCTGGTTGGAAAACACCAAGTAAACAGCATTTTGAGGGACTTTGGGCTCCAAATATGGAAAAGCCACGACGACCCTGCTCTTGCACTGCAAACGTAGAAATGAAGGAGCTAGCACAAGACACGCATGCCTGGAGTACGTTGCTGAGCCCAACACAACATCCACATCTCCTGTCTGAGCTCCTCTGGAAGGTGGAGCAGCCGTGGGACGCTCAGATTACAGCGACTTCTGCAGGGCAGTTTTGCTGCTGTCCCCTGGAAACAGGAATAAACCTGCCTGATCCCTTGTGCTGATGGAAGGTGCCAGCACAGGGACCGTCAGCGTCGCGGGCACCGCACAGACATTTGCACGTTTAGAAGCTGAGTTCACACTAACTGGGAACAGAGCAGTTAACCACTCTTTCTAGAGTTCTTTTTTAGCTAACAAGATAAGAAAGTGATTATGCAGCCAAACACTAACTGGGAACAGAGCAGTTAACCACTCTTTTTAAAGAGTTCTTTTTTAGCTAATAAGATAAGAAAGTGATTATGCAGCCAAATGGTTGCCCCAAGTAATCAAAAAACCCAGTTAGCTCTCCAAGGCTCGCAGGCAAGGGGCCAAAGCCCACTATCAGTCTCACTGGTGCCAGGAGGCTGAGCGCCGTCTGCCCAGCACCAGAACAGGGCTCTTTGTCTCCGCACTGCTTTGTAAATCCATCCTTAGCAGCTTATCCTCTGGCCTCCCTTCTCCCTTCAGCAAACACTCAGGCTTTAACTGCAGCTCTCAGCCTGCTGCAAACCAACGTTTTCATGCCCGAAATACAAATTATGTCCAGTGCAATTAAGCCAGTAGGCGAAACGGAGCACTTTGTCTATTCAGAGTGTCCCCTCTTCCAGGCTGGAACTTCCAAATCTGATGTCCACAGCAACATCTGCTGGTAGAATAACATAAATACACAAAAACGACCAGGAACAGTCACAATGAAACCTTCAGTTGTGGGTGCTTAATCACTTTTCCTAAACTTATGACTATACTATAAAACCTGTTTCCCTTTATTTTTTTCCCCCATCAGTAGCACTGATTTACAAGTGGCAATGCACAACATTAACACACAAATACTAATGTCACAAGTCTTAAAAGAATTATCCTTGTGGTTTGGTAAGTTGTTAGCAATATTCTGTTTCTTGGACTCTACTCAATTAATATTATCACATAGCTCATACATCTTCATCATATTTATCACACTTTTGTCCTTAAACAAAGCAGACAGAAATATGCAAACTCACACCATAACGTCTTAACGACAAAATTACTTTCTAGTTTAGCAATCCATCCGTAAAACATGCAAAAATAACTACGCTCCATTGATATTTTTTAATAAATGCACAATGCACACAGTTAATTTGAGGGCTTAACATCTTCATAACAGCGTTCTTGGAATAATTAGACAGCTATTGCTCCTCATTGCTATTACCCATACTTGAAGAAACGCAAACAGTGATTTTACTACTGCAGCAGCACTGTATTGCAACAAATACTGTGAACTTTACTACTTCAACTAAATGAACTTCCTTATTTAGAGGTTTTTAAACCACAGAAGTAAAACATACAGAGTTTAGCAACCAAATTCTGTGTAAAGCTAATAACATAGGTAAAATTAAAGCAGCACTACGAAGCTTTTCTATCTTTCATCTGACTATTGTGCCACAGAACGGGATTAATTTCATCCTCATTTATATTTTGGAGTATTGCCAACGACACTAATAGAAAGGATAAGAGCCCAGTAACTAGTGTCTCATATCATGGCTTATAATTTGAAGTCCATTAGTATGGTGTACTAACAAGTACAGATGTATTTCCTGCCCTATGGGTCACCCAATCTATAAGGAAACCTCCACAGACAACAAGGTTCAGTAAATTCACATATTCTTGAAAGGTCTTCCTTGACATATTCTGTTATAGGTTGTGTCTAACGAGTTTTATCACGTGTTTATAGATATGGCCATATGTATACTTCATACATACATGCCTCATACATGTTTTTATGTAGAACATGTTTATTTGTATGCTTATGCCTAATACAGCCTAAGTGATCGAACAGTGGGCACACTGCAGGATACATACATGCCTCATACATGTTTTTATGTATAACATGTTTATTTGAACATTTATGCCTAATTACAGCCTAACTGATCGAACAGTGGGCACGCTGCAGGACTAAATCCAAAATCTCAGTGGGTTCCTACCTTGAAGGACACTTTTGACAATGGTGTCGGTGTGATCAGCCAGCAGATCTGCTTTGGCAATTGCAGCCAAGGATAGATAACTTGACATGTTTCTGCACAGTTCCTTATTGCCCCTCTGCAGAAATTTCACCGCCACTGGGACAGCTAAGGCCATTACTGGAGGTCGATTGTAATTCTGTAAAAACAGGAAAAAAAACACTGAAAAAGAAGCAGCTGAAAAAAAATGATTAAAATAAAGTCTCATGCTGATCAGAGCAGAAAACAAAAATCAAAACAATGAGGGGGAAAGAAAAAAACACGTCAAGAAAGGTTATGTTTTGGTAACCACTGAAGGCAGACTTCAAAGAAAGAGCAGATAAGGGAATTTAAAAGTTCTGCACCAGGATATGCTAATAACACACTTATTTTTGAGTTCTGCCAGAAGAGAAAACACAATATTAAGTGCACTAGTTAAATGTTAACTGATGTAGGGTTTCTAACAAGACATTTTATGCTTGGTGCTCTCAGAGAAGATAGCGGAGCAGAAGCAGTGTCTATCATTTTCATCCCAAAGCACAGGAAACACCTCAGAGCAGTGTCCCATGCTGTTGACTGGTAAATATTGCTCCACAGTAAGACACATTGCTGGTCGTCGTTCCTGCGTCGCCGTGACCTGCCCCACTCCAGTGCCCAGCCCCAAGCAGGGCATCCCAACGTGCGCGCACAGAGTCAAGGCTTAGGGATGCTCTATTTCAAGCATGGGTAAGTCTTCTCCAGCCACAGCTTCCTTCATCTACACCAAAGGGTGTTACTACTCTGAGTTTTGGCCCATCTTTGTGCCAGCAGAGACCACGTGAAGGACAGACTCCTCTATTGCCAGAACAGGATCTCATGATAAGTCCCTGGGACTAAGTCAAAGGCTACCTGGTCAAATGAGGAAAAGAGTATGCATAAGTGTACTGGGAAACTTGCTCACAAGGTAATAGCTTTAGTATTCATCATCAATTTTCCTCTAATAATAATTTAGATTTCCTTTCTTAAACTCCGCTCAACTTTTCTGAACATTGGGGTCAAGTGAAATTCTTCAAGACAGCTAACTGGTGTCCTCAAAATGGCACAAAGCTTCAGTGATCTCAGGGGTGTCTGCACACACACGTCAGTTTTGATGTTAAGGTCAGAAAAGGTTTTATGCAACTATTTGTACACGTGGAATTGTGTGCACGGACTATACATGTCTATTGCCCATGAAGTTCTCACGTGTAACTGCCCTTGAGACTAGTGGGATATGTTTACGTGTAACTGAGGACCTACATTCTTTCTGGAGCCTCCTTAATCAGTGCGTTTCTGTCATCTTCACTCAGTTTTGAGCATCTCTTTGAAACTGGAGTACACCATTGTTTTTGAAAATAACCCTGCAATACGATTATATTCAATTAGCATCTGAAATCACAGGCAACCACTGGAACCCAGATGTTTTGGAAAGCAACAAAATAGGGCAAAGAAAGGCGGTCCAGACTTAACATATGCTCATTCTGGAATAGCACTGGAAAAAAAAAAAAACAAATTCAGACCCAATTAAAAAGCAAATCTGTCATTCCATATACCCTGTTACATTGCATCCTAGGCCAGCTCTGCCTCCATCAGCAGTAACTGCCTTTGCCATTAGCCTCATGGAGAGCACGACTGACCCGAAGTAAAGCTGCATTGTGCCACTCAACCAGTGCAAAAACGTTTAACAGGATTTTTCCTTGCAACAGAGATCTGCCAAGCAGTGGAGCGGTGCAGCTGCTCTGGCACAGCCCCTTTCCACCAGTCCCTAAGGAAGAAGAGGCTGCAGCAACTCCTCAGTACCAAGATAGCTCATCATGGCAACTGCCATATGACCAAAAACTGCATCTTTGATGAGAAAAGCCCGCAAAATGAATAGAGCTTCATGGAGCAGCATGTTTAAATCAACATAATGCCTCACTATATTTGGTTAAGAGGCACTTCTGAGTAGGAGCCAAATTCTGCCTCCAAGTTATACTCTAGGACTCCACACAGAAAGAATGGGAAGATGAGGTTTGACCCTGCGACTATAATTTAAAAGATCTAAGAAAATGCCCAAGAACAATTTCTTTTTCCCCTACAATAAATATAAAATACTCAGTTAAGAAAAGGTTTGAATTCAGACGGAAGGAGAAAGGTTTCGTTCATTCCATTATAAATATCAGGGCATGAGCACACACTCATGAAAATGTGAACATGACAATGAAAAACAGATTTCAATAATATGATGTAGTGATGTTTGCAAACCTAGGGGACCTCCCTGCTGCTCATATCAACAGAAACACGCTGTGAGACTCAACCCAGCTGTCAGATACTCATTACTACTTCAACTATCCCTCATGTATTGTATAAAAACTCATTTTATGCCTGCCTTCTTTTTTTTTATGCAAAGGGACTTGCTGATAACAGCTCTGTTTCAGGGAGCAGTAAATGCACTTTTATAACTTTTTCATTTCATTGAACACCTTTCTTGAGGTAATCTGCAACACAGTGCAATCCCTAAAACATTTGGATACGAGCTAGCTTGATTGAGGCACACAGCTGCCAACAGCACAAACCGAAAGCTTAGCGAAGCCGTTGCATGCTTCAGTATTCTCATGCAATATGATTTCTAAAGTATTGCAAAGACAAAATATGATTTTTACAATGTACAGCCTCTCGTCTGGAATGTTTAAGCTGTGCTGCTACCGCTATCCAAATCCAATTACTCTTGCCTCCAGGGATGTGAGACAGAAAGGGAGATGGGCAACACCTCCAGGAACGTGTTGCCTACCAGAAATCGTGGCCCTACCAAAGGCAGTCACACATGGAGAAAGGCAGAGGGGACACAACCCCCTGATATACCACCGACCTTCACAGGAGGGGATGCTGTGCCCTGCGCTGGGATGCAGCTTGTGGATCACGACTCAGGGATGCCAGCGCACTGCACAAGAAATCTTGCTCAGCCTCATCCGCAGGCTTGGCCAAATGTCTGGCTAGAATTAACCTCCATGCCTCCCAAACCAAACTCAACAAGAACCTGGGCTTCAGAAAACGAGTTTTTTCCTTTTTCTAATATTTTGCTATAACACATTTTTGGGCATCTTCAGAGTGACAGATTGGTGTAAACAGAACTGCCTGTACTACAGGATTGTAAAGTAAAATTTCACTGAAGCAAATTCAGCATTGATGTTATTTTTTTTCTGAAACTCTGTTTCTTTTGGGCTTTAAACACTTTCAGCCAAACTAGATGAGGAATCTCAGTAACTATGGAACAGTGCCTCCTACAAGGGGCTAAGCAGTACTTTTCATGGGACAGTGACATACTTGTGCCACTGTCGCTTGACTTTTTATAAGGAAAAAACAAACTCCCTCCCCATCTGGTTTAAGAGGCAAAGGTAAAGAAAGCAACTACGAAATAGCAGATGCACTGCAAACATCATGCCAGAGTAGTGATGTATAGAAAGGCACTTCATAGCAACTGTTTCTCCACCTGACATGGAGCTGGTCCCCATGGGTTGTACCCACTGCTGAAACTCTGGGAACAACCCTGATTTTTGCTTCCAGGTAGATAACTGTGCATATAGGTTTCTCTATGGGTCTCTCCAGCGTGTTATATTGCTTTCCCAACAAGGAATGATACTGCTGGCAATCCTGGCTAAAAAAAAAAAAACAAGCCCACAAACAAACAAAACCAAAAAACCCCCAAACTCACTCTGTTATAAAACCATATTCCCCCTTTTTTCCCTTTAAATGGCTTCTCACTCTCAGCTTACTTTCTTAGAAAACCTTGGAATAGCCCATTCCTATTCCCAAAAGGCTGCTATATGCTACAATTTCTTCTTTTTAGTCTCGCATTCACAGGGAGCTATAGTTCATACACTACTGAGTTCAAACGGGACCCAATTTCAGCTGTTCTTCTAGCAAATGTTTTTGGGACCTAAGTATTTTTTTTGATCTTTTTGTTCCTGCCTCCAACATTTAGTAAAATAATCTAAGAAATTAAAAGAGCTTAAGTTCTTTCTAGTCCTCTATTTAGAGTAGTAGCAATCAGATTTTAGTTCAGAAGTCAGTATTCTGTGTTGTATCTGGACTCAGCTTTTACAATAAAAATGTTAAGGGAGATCCTCCTTACTGACAGCGTATCTAATGACCTAAATTTCATGTCATTAAAGTCTCTTTGGCGTTTTGCTGCCTTCCAGTACAATTCAAAAGAGTAACCTAAGTGCTTTCAAATGAATCTGTAAGCACAGAAAATGATGGTTCTATGTCTCCCACTTTAATATTTACATGAAATGCAAATACTTAGAATTAATGGCATATTAAGATAACAAAATCTGGCACTAAGCAGTCAAGACACTTCAAAAGATAAGGAAGCTGCCAAAAGTTTTGATTTACTGCGACAGATGACATATGAAAGCGGGGAGATTTAGGTTAGATCTAAGAAAGAAATTCTTTACATTGAGAGTAGTGAGGTACTGGCACAGGTTGCCCAGAGAAGTTGTAGATGCCCCATCCCTGGCAGTGTTCAAGGCCAGGTTGGATGAGGCTTTGGGCAACCTGGTGTAGTGGAGGGTGTCTCTGCCCATGGCAGGGGGGTTGGAACTAGATGATCTTTGAGGTCCCTTCCAACCCAAACGATTCTATGATTCTATATGCATGTAACAACATACATTAAAAATTGGGGTCAAGTTCTTGGTTTTAAACAACTGCAGCCACTCCCATGCACCCTCAGAAAACATAAAGTACCACCACACTGTAAAAGACGAAACCGAATCGCCAACGCTTGTGTTACACCCCCCTGCTCTTGGCTCAGTCTCACCTGCAAGATGCAGCTCATGATATCAGATGCGATTTTTGCATGTGGTGTGTCCTCGTCTTTTCCAGAAGGCTTCAGGTTGTGCTCCAGGCACGACTCCCACAGAGCCACGAGGGCTTTGCCGTGCTTTTCTATGGACGCCGTCTCCCTGATGGCAGTGGTGATGCGAGTGATGCAGATTTCCACCACAGCCTGGTCATTGTCATTGGTCTGGTAGTCCTGGTCCAAATGAAAAGACATTTGCCAATGACTGCCAGTCCTTTTCCAGGACCTCACAAAATTAACCCAAAAAGACAAAGTTTTTGTAACTGTCCAGTGTCCATTTTCTCACTTCCACCTTTACAGGGAATGTTTAGCATGATTTACACGCAAAAATTAGTCATCCCATAGACAATTGACTTGTTTTTACTTATCAATAACGACAATTAGGTCTTAATTCTCATTACTGTAAAGGTATGGATTATGTCATCAAATTATTTCTAGTAGTCTGTCTTGAAGCATGGCCTTCCTGACCAGAGACTGCAGCCACAAACCTTAGAACCACTTGCACAGTGGTCCCATAACCGTCCTAAAACTGAAACTGGAATTGTTTATACCCACAATATACGTAGGGTTCCAAATATTTCAAATTGTGTCGAGTCCCTGATGTAAACACAGTTTCAATTAGTAGCAACGTAACAAGAATAAAAGTTAAATAAATAGGCTTTATCACGAAATCCTGTAATCACCCATAATTGCTGACACAGATGCCATGTGGACATGAAATGGCAGTGCAATTCGGAATGCTCAATCACTGTCCCTCAGTCTAACCTATCCCGTTCCACCCTAAAAAGTCACGAAGATGAAAGACAGACCGAAGTATGAATCAGAACTCATTGGTTTTGCTAGATAAAGCAAAGCATGGTCATTTTGAAAGGGCTGGAACCCAGTTCAGCACTGGGTTACAGAGATTCAGCTCCAGAGTTAGCTCTGGGGGCTCTGCCCTGCCATGGGGTATGACAGCGCATCACGGGCAGAAGCCACAACATCTGGGTCTGCCTCAAAGCCATTCTCTGCCTCTATCCACAGCCCCCTACAAGCTTTGCTCGGCACGACGGAAAAATCTATGCACTTGTTACAAAAAGAAAACACATTTTTTCCTTATGTAGAAGGTCACCTCTTGATAAAGAGCTGAACAAGTTAATGGTGCTGGCTGGGACGGCCCGAGAGCAAATCCCTGGTGAGCGTGGTGCGGCTGTGCGTGGGCACGGAGAGCAGAGCGGTCCTGCCCGCACTGCTGTGAAAATCCTCACATTTGGGGAAAAATATACACATCCCTCTGTCCAATCCAGCCTGCCCGGGCAGCGCTGGGGCAGCTCCCCCATCACCACAGCACTCCGGTGGGAATCGCTCAGCAGGTCGGAGGTAGAGGAGGGCACTGCAGGATGCTTCATCTGCCTCCTGCAGACTGGTGTGTTTGGAAAAACATCTTGCAGTGAATTCAGGCACTCTCTCAAAAAGTGTATTAGGGGGAGTTTGTGTAAAATTCCTGATAAACGGCAGTTAGGTGAGTTGAAGCCCCTCACAAACAGCAGAAGCAATGGCCAGAACAACTTGACTAATGCTCTGAAAGACTGTGCAGATGTAATTGCTGTCAAAGCAATGACCAAAGAGGAGAGCCAGTGCACAGTGGCTGTCCTGATGGACGAGTCAGTTCTTGTTGCAACCAGCAAGGCTGATCAACGCTCTGAGAGCCAGAGGTCTGTGCATTGCCAAAACTGATTTCTAAAGCCACGCGCCGCATGAAGTGTCAGAAAAGTGCAGTTGTGAGAACGTGTGCAAGTTGATAATTGAATATCCTAAGGCTCAAAAAAGATTTTTCCCTTCCCTTCAGCAGACTGGAAGCAGGAAGGATAAAGAGCTTTTTTTTTTTTTTTGGACAGCACTTTCAAAATCCATGAGCCTCCCATCATTCAGAACACCTGCTGCTGCAAACAGGATACACACTATATATACAGTGTACCTGTAACCTCTTGTTAATCTTTACTATGCCTTAAATAACTATTTAATAAAAATTAAGCTAAAGATGAACTTGAAATATCTTCAACGGAAATCCAACTAGTAGAAACTGGATTTGGTTACCACATTTTTAAATCTCACACTTTGCTCGGCACTCTTGACTCTTAGAAACTTAAATTGTGTACATCCCTAACATTTTGTTCACACAATACAAGAAAGATGGGGAGAGGCTGTTCAGGAGGGCCAGTCGTGATAGGACAAGGGGTAATGGTTTTAAAATAGAGGGAGGTAGATTCAGGTTGGATATTAGGAAAAAATTTTTTACCATGAGAGTTGTAGAACACTGGAACAGGTTGCCCAGAGAGGTGGTGGATGCTCCATCCCTGGAGACGTTCAAGGCCAGGTTGGATGAGGCCCTGAGCAACCTGATCTAGTTGGAGATATCCCTGTTCCTTGCAGGGGGGTTGGACTCGATGACCTTTGAAGGTCCCTTCCAGCCCTAACCATTCCATGATTCTATGATTCTAATACATTTGATCTCATGAAAAATTACGAAGGACAGCGTTTCACTTACTGCGGATGAACTAATTATTCTTATTTGTTCAAGAGCTTCCGAGAGGCTTCCTTCGATTTCAGCATCCTCTAAGGAGAAGAGATCCCCTGCACGTGAAAGGTCCTTCTGTGCCAAAACCAGCCCGAACAGGTGATGCATGGCTGCGTCGGCGGCCGCTCAGCCAGCCCTCGGCACGCAGCATGTGCGCCCACGACTCAGATGAGGACAGAATGGAAACACTCCTGTGGACTAGCAATCAATTTAATATGAAGAATAAATCCGGGGCATATTTCAAGACTTCCTTGGCCACAATCTAAAAAAGACAAAAAAAAAGGGGGAAAAAATTAGCAAACACATTGACTGTCGTGTTCCAGTTTAGCAAAGATTTTTAACTGGTGTATGCAAGCAGCACCCAGGATCCCCTGATCAGGGATGTCCTTAAGCACGTACCACAAACTGAATATTGAAGGACCTCTTGCCCTCAAACATGAAATAGCTTAAAATTAGCTAAACAATACACAACTTTTAATAAATAAAACCAAGTTTTTTTTTCATTTCAACGCGTCACCTGAGCAGGATGGTGGCTGGACTAACTGATACAGATCACAAAACACCTTTCTGAGGTCAGGAGTGGAGCAGAGCTGGAGGAGGTGGGTGAAGCCACTTCGTTTGTTTTCTGGGTTGTTGTGTCTTGTCTCCAGAAATACGCTATCAGCAAGATTGAGAAGATAATGATTGTTGTTTAGAAAAACAGTCAGTTTTGTTGCCAAAATGATCCCTGCAGTCTCTTCAACTCATGTAAAACAAACACTTGGCTGAGCTGAAACTATGCACTTCTCCTGGGCTGGGGAATTTAACAGAAGCGGGGCCAGGCTCGGCACCACACACACACTTGTGAAAGAGGACAGTCCTGCACTTGTGCCCCAAAACTTTGGTGTTTAAAGCATCTGCAGAGGAGATATTTGCCTTAATTATAAGAGAAGTTTGTTTTTTCCATATTGCAGAAGTGTCATTTGTTACTCTACGACTACCTGGACTTGCGTCATGCTATGAGTCCCTCTGCTCACACACCTTTGAAGCAAGGGTCTCCATGGCCAACCTCAGTGAACATGAGAAAGGGACCAACAGCACAGGGTCCTTCAGGCTCGGAACATCACACAGGGCTTGGACTTCATCAAGACAGGTACAAATCCATGCAGGCAGAAAACGTCTATCCTTGAGTCTTCCAAGGGTCTCCATGATGGCCTTACTGGGAGGAACAGGACAAGGGCAGTCCTTCCTCCTTCAGCTCCTGATTGTAGTGCACTTCTTCCATCCTTTCCCACCAACAGTGTTCACGATGACAAAGAAACCCAGCAAGTGACAATTTCTCAGCCCCGAAGAGCACCTCTAAGCGTGGGGCCCCCCAGGGGCTGCTCACGCTTCAGGCAGAGCTGCGAGGGAAGAGCTGCCATTTGAGACCCTACTGAGAAAAGGGTCAACCACGCAGAGGACATTCAGCGGCATGCACAGCAGCCATGCTGGCCAGAAGGACATGGAGCTTCTGCCAGCCACATGGGACATAGACACGTAGCACCTGGCCCTGAGTAAGCTCAGATGCACGTGTAAGGAGAGGTTACAAATGGGGATGCCTCTGTGCCCTGGGAAGCTGCTGCACAGCTCAAGGACCTCACCCCAGACAAGCTCTGCTCGATGGCCACCTCAAGCTCCCTTTAGCTTTAACTGCATCTGTGTTGGCCATCTCATAGTACACAAGCAATCACTCTCACTCCTTCAACACCATCTTCCACATCATCAATATCTTCTCCATAAGGAAGCGTGTGGAGAGAAACACAGAATCATTCAGGGAAACTGCCAGGTGGCTGTTGTTAGTTGCTGTTTTGTGAATCAAAATGTCTCTCTGAATGGAAGTAAACATATCTAAATGTAAAGGACATACATATAACATACATGTGTGTATGTATGTCCTTTACACTTAGGTATGCAACAATCTAAAAGTTCCAGCTTAGCCACTAGTGGCTGTCTTTGCAGGAATACAACAGATAGGTGACTATCCAGCTGGCAGAATCAGGATGTCAAGGTGGACATACACCAAATATGACACTCATTTATTCAAGAGTTTGAGTTACCCACTGGAAACGCAGTTGCTAGAACTGGATCAACCTGCCTTTGTGCACATTGCTTAAATGACCTATAGTCTGTGCTTCCACTGAGTAAAACTTCCCTGTGGCTTTGCATAGAGGAAAGAGAAATGTCTGAGATTTGAGATATATTTGCTGAAATAAGATATAGGAGAAAAGGGAATCTTACGAAAAATAGGCTGTTCGTAATCCGATGAAGAGGCTGGGTTAGAGTGACAAATTAAGGACTCAAAATCACCCCTTTTTCCACGCAGGCTTGCATTAGATGAACCTGCTACAGGTACAGCCACGGCCACCCCGGTGGCACATGCCAAGGCCGCTACTGCCTGCCTGCTGGAGCACACGGCGGTCTGCAGGAAGCTCTGTGCCAACGTGGATCTAAACTGGGCACAGCTTGACGTGAGAACACGTGTTAAACCACAAACATTATGTCACAAACCAAAACTTTTCCCTTCGTCTTCACTTATTTGTCTGATACAGAATATTTCCTGATTTTGAGGTCAGGAAGAGATCTACCAACCATGTCTTCCAGATGGCCCATGTGGACTCACAGCCAACTCCTCTAGGTTCTTCTCTTGAGCTGATAAGCAAAGCACTACACTGTTGCAAACTAGATAGCTTATAATTATTATTTGAGATTCAGAATATCCTTAATCCCTGTTACTCTATTTTACACTATTTTTCAGGGAAAAAAAAAAAAAGGAACAGGCCAAATAAGGGGCAAATCACTCAGAACCTTCTGAAAATAACTCAATGAAACAATCTCTATTTTAATAGAATAGACAGCACCCTGCACTTGATCTGCCATAAGCCTGATGTAGTTTTTTTTTTTTAACTTTCCCAAATCATAGAATGGTTAGGGTTGGAAGGGACCTCAAAGATCAGCCAGTTCCAACCCCCCTGCCATGGGCAGGGAAATCCTCCACTACACCAGGTTGCCCAAAGCCTCATCCAACCTGGCCTTGAACACTGCCAGGGATGGAGCATCCACAACTTCTCTGGGCAACCCGTTCCAGTGCCTCACCATCCTCAATGTAAAGAATTTCTTTCTTATATCTAACCTAAATCTCCCCTCTTTCAGTTTAAATCCATTGCTTCTTGTCCTATCACTACACACCCTTGTAAAAAGTCCCTCTCCACATCTACCACTATCATTACACAGGAGTTCTAGTTTGATTATTTGCAGCAATACAGAAGCAGAAAAAAAAGCTAATAAGATTGCAAACCCTGAAGCACACCAGTCCAGATCCTCCTGACAATCTCTATGGCATAAATCACCAGTCACCAAACTGAAGGTGATGGTGCAAGTACAGAGGAGATTTGGCCCATCATGCTCACACTCGACGATTCTCAAATTCAAAAAAAAAAAAAAATCAAAGTTCGAAAGGCTGCAGACACAAACTGAATTTTTTTTTTTTTTTTTTTTTTTTTACCTGCTCACGATTCCACAATGACATCCTCAATGATGGTTACGGGTGCAAAGCTGGTGTGCTTGGGGACAAAGCCTGACCACTTTGCTCTCCTGCTGCCCCAGCAGCACGGAGGGCACAGCGGGCAGAAAGCTGGGGAATCGGGTGGCATGCAGTGAACCTGAAGCTGTTAACTGCAGTGCCAGGAGTAAGGCATTTCAGGAATGCAGACTAAAGCAGCCTAAAAGTTACCAATGGCTCCATCAGGTGACTAAAGGAACCTAAACGCAGAGAGCCCTTATCTCTGAATGAAACACTCTGTTTCTAGGACAAAATACAAAGCCTACTCCATTTGAGGGCAGTTGTTTTTAATAGAGAAAACAGAACTCTCTGTGTTAGTGAAAAGTTATCCTCCCTGGGAAGGAGGTAAAAAAAAAAAACAAACCTCAGTAAGCTCACACTGTTTGAAAGCAAAAGAACAAGTGAACAAACCTGCCACAGAAGAGAGATTCTGTCCAAAGGAACAAATGCTACTGTTCTGTAATGCTTTACGTGAACACAAAAGAGTCTGAAGTTTGCTTTGGCTTTTAACATCACTCTCATAAGTTGCACAACAAAATCTGCACACATGACTTAGGAAAATGCTCTAGGAATGGAGCTCCATTTGAACCCTCTCTTTGATCAGCTGCACTGAAACACAGCAGCCCCTTCTTGGACTTTTGCAAAGATATTCTACTCTGCTTCCGCAGAGGAGTTTCTCAGAAAGGCTCTGTTGTCTACTGGATGAACAGACACTTTTCATGTAAGCTTTACAGACAACACTAAGGACAATACAAAAAAACAACATTTACTTACCATAAGCTCTTTGAAATGGAATTATAGCAAATCTTCTTAATACCTGCATTATGTAACAGCACTGAAAATACTTTTCTTGCATAGGTCTTAAAACGAAAGAACTGTCCTTTAAGCATCTCCTTGCTCACTACCAGATTGTACAGTTTCCTACTAATAGGTAGCTGGCACTAAGGAAAAGCATAATACAGGTGTCTTCTAAAATGTTGGGTTTTTGGTTTTTTTTTTTAAATCTTTCAAAAACGATCAGGTTGGATGATAAAATTGTTCCAGAGTATGGTTCCCAAGATGTCTCATCAGTTTGACTCCACATCACCTCTCAGTATCTTCTCATTCAGATAGGACAACAATTACTGTATCCATCAGATCAGCGCGTGAGACAAATTAGACTTATGTTTGTGTCCCATGTGCACAAGCAATGGAAAAGAGACCAAGAGTCTTGCCAAAGTTTGTACATCCTGCAGGGCTCCCCATCAGCACGGCGTCCAGGGGGGTTTGCAGCAAAGATCCATACCTTCCTGTGGTCGGAACGTGGCAAACAAAGCAGTGACTCCAGCTCTTGTACCGAACGTCAAGTCATCGTCGTGCAGGGAAAAAAGAGCCTCAGCCTATAACACAGCCCATTTCGCTGGCTGGTGGGGCAGTCCCACACCTAATTCAAAGTTTTACTTCTGATCTTCAACACCAAGCTTCCCTTTTCATGACAAGCTGAAAGAGCCATACATTCCCTGGGACCTTGAAGCTGTTCCCCTCCAAG